TCCTTTAGAACTTATTTTTTTAACTTTGAATGCCAGTAAATGAACTTCTTCCTCCTTGCAATTTGGACTTCATGCAACATTTATTTTATGTTGTCATTTTTACTTTACACTTTTGTAGCCAAGAAATAGCTAATAGTTTATATTTCTGGGAAGAAAGAACCAGCATGTAGGATGCCTATAAGATGTAGAATTTGGCCTTTTGGTCTCCTTATATGGTTTGAGACTTGCAAGTCAGTTGGTCTGATAAGATCTGAGCTGTGGATTTCTTTAGTCATTTGTTCAGTGAATTCAATTAACACCAATATTGGAAAGAACAAAAAGAAACTGATATGTTATATATAAGGGCTGTAATCACACAATGAATACTCTTACAATAACCATGAAAGAGACAATGAAGGAAATAGGATTTGCTGTGGAACACATGGTCTCATGGGCAAAGCCTCCAATTTCTCTAATTATATATGTGTCACAGGCTGCCGTCTATTTCTAGATAATGCTCTTTATTGGGCAGGGTTTGTTTCCTATTAACTTCAGCCACGGCCCCTACAACACCCTCTACAATTTTGCTAAATTCCATCTCTGTAGAACTGGAAATTGGATGGTCAAGTGTCACATCCAGATTGCATTTCAAGTATTTTAAGTAGACAGTGCTTCAGGTGCCCAATTACTTCTGAGCTAGAATGTCCTTAAAAGTGTTAGCAGGAGCAGTGATTCATTTGAGAATTGGGGTACAGGTGTGTATGTATGATAAATTATAAAAATTTGCTAGTATACCAGACCTAAGGCTTTTACAGTTGAAATAACTATTATTTCTCTTGGGGGGCCACACCCAGAAATTCTACTCAAGCAGTAAGCACTTATTGTGCCTACTGTAGGCACTCTAGAAACAGATTACCTCGGTCCTGGAAAATTTACTTTTGAGGAATTTGAGAAGAAACACCAGTTGAACACAAGAAACGGATGACAGTATTAGAAATATCCCTGGGAGAACTGCAATTACATGAAAGACAGGAACCACATTATCCCAGTAGGTAATGCACATCTAGGCTGCATGACGTATTCTGTTTGTATGTATATTCTGAACAACTCTGCTATCTGATGAATCATATTCAGAAATAGTATTTTCACTGAAATTAGAAAAAGAATTTTCAGCAGAAGGGGTTTCCTAATACTGAAAAATTGGATTCTATAAGTGTTGATAAACACATTTGGAATTTGTCATCTCAAAGGTACAAAACATATCAGGTAGGACAGAGAGGAAGAATGGATATTTGGCAGCTAGGATTTGATCTTTATTTACAATGACTCTATCAGTTCAGGTCAAGGTTAAATTCAAAGAACCAAATATTATTTACTTCAATGGAATTCTTTCTGCTGCTTCAGCTGCAGCTGGATTGAGACTACAATTTTGACTTAAGAATAATTTTAGGTGGTTATGTTATACATATGTATGGATCAGGAAAATAGATAGCCTATCCTTCTTTAGAAAATTAGAAAGAATCCAAAGGTAAGAGATAATATCATATGTGAACATGACTATGAATGCACAGGGCTATCATTGATAGAGTTTTCTTTTTTTGTCGTATACTGTTTTTTAAAATAAAAAAGGTTGTAAAATCTCTAGAATCTTTAACTGATTGCCTTTTGAGGAAATAATGATTATAGGGATTGGGTTTCGTAGTATACTCAGGCCTCTTGTTAATGTCCTTAAACAGCCAAGATAGCCTTAGCAGAGACCTGATTCGTTCTGAGAAATAGTAATGATATTTTTGCAACTGTGATTGTTTAAAGATACAAAACTGCTAAGGTGTAGAGGGAGAGATAATACCTTTTATTAGACCAACTGATACATTTTGGGGTGGGGAGGAAGGAAAGAAAAACAGGCGAGATTTGAGATGCATAACCACTTTTTTGGCCTCT